CAAATCAGAAAAAAATTCCAAAATCCAGCAAATCAGAAAAAAATCCAAAGTCCAGCAAATCAGAAAAAAAATCCAAAATCCAGCAAATCAGAAAAAATCCAAAAAGCAACAAATCAGAGAAAATTCCAAAACAAAACAGATAAACTTGCAACATAATTTTGTACAATATTTCTGTCTGCACGAAAGAACACCCTATAGTTTCCCTCCGTGGAGGGTGAAACTGTGAACAAGGGTGACATAGGAGGTTCCCGGCTCCCTTCCACTCTCCTACAGAACCCAGTGGGGGATCCAGGGCGTGTAAACGGGCGTGGCTTCAGTCAGGATGAGGAAAATCGTAGGTTTGGCGCCTGGAAGTCCTTAGTCTCCACTGAGACGCCACACGGCGCAGTCGAACGCGCGGAATTCGGTTGTTGAGAGTGAATCTTGGTACCGTTGTGATAATTTGAAGATTGAGAACATTGCAAAATGATGCACACGATGAGCGAACACACGGGAGGCGCGGGAGGTTTGGGTGTTAACGTGCTACCCTTCGAAGGAATGGGGTTGTTCGAGCCACAGAGACCCAGGTACTTTCATAAGATGCCTCGGGTGGTTCCTGATCAGAAGGCGAAGTTTGAGACGGATGAGCTGTTTAGGAGACTGAGCAGGGAGAGCGAGGTGAGTCATCTTTCAACCCCTTATAATTAGGATATTTTTGATGAAACTTGTAATTAATTTCGGAGTAAATTTGCAAGCTTTTATTATTTTTATTGTGTTTGGTCATTGAGGATGTTAGTTAATATGTCAGTGGCAGGTAGCTCATATGTGCAACATATGTGAATATTGCAATATCTGATTGAATTCGAGGTCTGATTTAAATTCGAGGTATAATCGTCAAGTATTTGTAAACGTAACTGCATATCTATTTCTGTTAAAATTGCAAAAGGGAATAATTTTGATAGGGTAACTGCTGATCAATTTCGTAAGAATATAACATCGTCAAAAGTGAACAATTTTATGAAGCTACCAGGTCCTACTTCAATTTCTTCTTCATGTATTTATTTTTATATGAAGACTTTATCTGAAGAATGGTTCTTTTAAAGAAATTCAACAAGGGATCGATAGAATAAATTCTTCAGTTTTGTGTTGAATATTGGTTTTGATTCTTGGGTTCAATATTGAGTTTCACAGTGAAATAATATAAAACTGAGACTCTCAAGGTGAGAAGGGATTAGAATGAGTCCTTAAATGAGCACAAGTCCTGTTTGGACAGTCTGTACATATACATAATCCATTGTATACAAACGCTGTCAGACACATTCCAAAGTCAGAAGTAACGATCATTCGTAAATCATAATAGTCTTTCAAACTTCCAAGACTACCGTTTAGTATTTAACAAATCACCCTTCATTCAAGTTGAACTCAGAGATCTTCTGTCTGAGATTTTACTTACATCTCAGATTTGACTTCTATCTCAGATCTCTTCCTAAGAAATTAATTAGACTTAATGATGGAATCTGCCTAAAAATGGAAGTGAAAGAATTGGTTCCTTTTGTTACAGGTCAGATATACTGGTTACCGAGACAGACCAGTCGAGGAACGTCAAGTACGCTTTCAAAATGGCTGTCGAGAGGGGTACACGGAGATCGCGTTCGCAGCGACCGGTACGAACCTCCAACTCGTTTTTGGTAACGCTTCCGCGAACTACGCCGATGACATCAACGACTGCGATTTTGAGAAGGAACGTGGCAAGGTGAGAATACTTTCCACATTACACGGAAGTCTGTCTTCACACTACCTTACTTGTTATTTCCTCAAAAGATTCTGAAATTCGAAGCTGCAAAGATTTCTTAATTCCAAGCTGTTAAGATTATTAAATTCGGAGCTGTAAGGATTGTTAAATTCAAAGCTGTAAGGATTGTTAAATTCAAAGCTGTAAGGATTGTTAAATTTTAACTTGCAAAGATTTTTTAATTTGAAGTTGCAAATATTCTTAATTCAAAGCTGTAAACATTAAATTCGAAGCTGCAAGCATTATCAGATCAAAGCAGTAAAGATTGTCAAATGGAGAAAGTTCCCACTTGTGTCAACTTAGAATCACATCTCAACATAAATTTCAAAGTTATTTGGTAACACTAATTGAACGCGGACAAATAGAAGGTCATTAAACGGGTCTGGACGTCTAGTTTTTCGTGTCCTTGGCATCGTATATCGCAGGACGTAGTCCCCACAGCAATTTAGTATCCGTTTCTGCTCGGACAATGGTGTCACCGTGTCACGGTTCTGGAACGAGACGCATCCGGTCCCAAATTTTCTCGCCTCGGGGGGTTATCTTCTAACAATTCACTGTTGCAATGATTTCTTGTAAAAATTTCAGTCGGTTTGCTCAATTTAGTGTCGTTTGGGAGTCCTTCGGTGTCCTTGTACGCCGGCGCTGATAGAGGGGCGACGCCATCGCGATCGATAACGGCGTCTCGACGCCATTTTCTAGACAGCGTCCCTTTGCATCCATTTTTTTAATATCTGAGTTATCTTCATTTACACATCTTTTGAATTATCTTCATTTTAATACCTTCTGAATTATCTTCGTTTCAACATCTTCTGAATTATCTTCGTGTTAACATCTTACGAACAATCTAAACTCTAACGAGACAAGAGTATGATCGGTATTTAGAAATCATTTAAAAGTGTTTAGAGGATAGGGGAGATTTCGTGACTCTCCATTAGAAGCAGAGGCAATTAGTGAGTTTCGAAATCCGTCAAACAAGTTGAGAGCCGGTGCCAGATGCCGGAGGGCCTCGCTAGTCACCCGGTATATAATGGCTCATAAATCTTTCTGTCTCTGTGGATCCTCAGGGTGAGTCCTTTGGGTCCTCCGATGATTTCGAACTGCCTGGGTCAACTTTGTATTCTGTTGCTTCTTTTGTCGCTGTAACGTTACTTGGACAATTTCAGGTTGTAGGGAAATAGGTGGAGAGTAATTGTTACACGATTTGTTCTAATCAAATCAAAGTTAGTAACTTAACTTGCAACAGGGTTTGGTACAATGTAACTTGGCACTGTGCATCCATTCATATTTTTACTCATATAGCTATTCATTTAGCTACTCGATATGGCTACGCATCTAGCTACTCATGTAGCTACCTAGTTATTCATATAGCTACTCATGGGGCTACTCATTTAGCAACTCATCTGACTACTCATCGATATGGCTACTCATCTAGCTACTCATCTAGATTCTCATTTATGCAGCTACTCATGTAGCTATTCATCTAGCTTCTCATTTATGTAGCTACTCATGTAGCTACTCATCTAGCTCCTCACCTATGCAGCTAGTCATGTAGCTACTCATCTAGCTTCTCACCTATGCAGCTACTCATGCAGCTACTCATCTAGCTTCTCACCTATGCAGCTACTCATCTAGCTACTCATCTAGCTACTCATCTAGCTACTCATCTAGCTACTCATCTAGCCACTCATCTAGCTACTCATCTATGTAGCTATACATCTAGCTACTCATTTAACTACTCATCTAGCTTCTCATTTATGTAGCTACTCATGTAGCTATTCATCTAGCTTCTCATTTATGTAGCTACTCATGTAGCTACTCATGTAGTTACTCACCAATGTAGCTACACATCAAGCTACTCATTTAGCTACTCATCTAGCTTCTCATTTATGTAGCTACTTATGTAGCTATTCATCTAGCTTTTCATCTATGTAACTACTCATTTAGCAACTCATCTATGTAGCTACTCATCGAGCTACTCTTCTAGCTACTCATTTAAGTATTCATTTAGTTGCTCATCTATGTAGCTACCAATCGAGCTACTTATTGAGCTATTCATCAAGTTATTCATCAAGTAATATCTTTGTTCAAAACGTTCTGAACAGCAATATTTGAAGTTAGACGAACATCGGAGCAGATTTCTCCATCACATCGAGTGAATCACTGCCCAACAGCGAATTTATCCGGGAGTACTAACGATTCATTATTTTTCAACTCGCAAAAAGAGTCGACAGAAAGAGTGGAGACACGAGTGGTCCTGGTTGTTTACACGGCGACCCGCGGCCACCGTTTTGTTTTAATCGACAATGAACGATGGAAAGAGACGTAATAAAAAGGCGACGTGTGCATGGCTGCACGTGTCTCACGGTATTGTCCTCGTCGCCGTTCCCCGTAGAGAGGAAATAATTAAGGGAGAGATTCGCGAGCGCGATACAGCTTGATAAAGGACCTACCGACGAGATGAAAAGGGTGCGCTGGCGCTTTCGATCTTATCGAGTACTTCTTCGACGCGTCGCTTGCTCTTTCTTGGCTCACATCGACTTACTCTTTCAAAATTTTGGTGGTATGGTTTGTTAATCTTGACGCACTTATGACGCACTCGTACAATTATGACGCACTGAGGACGCAATCGTGACTCACTCTTGACGCATTCGTACTTTAGTTGAGATCAATTTTACTCGAATTTTTTAATATTGTAAATTAGCTCTGACACGCTCGTGACGCACTCTATCAGCTAAGATCAATTTTACTCAAATTTTTTAATATTTTAGATTAGCTCTGACGCACTCCTGACGCACTCCTTCAGCTAAGGTCAATTTTACTCGAATTTTTTAACATTTTAGGTTAGCTCTGACACACTTGTGACGCACTCGTGACGCACTCCTTCAGCTAAGATCAATTTTGCTCGAACTTTGAATATGCTGTAATTTAGAATTCAAGTCCAATAATTTTTAGCTAGTTTGAAGTAACATTTCGACTACCTGTGCCTGTTCTAATATTGTAGATTGACTCTGACACTCCTGACAAACAATGCAAGGGGTTAAATTAGCTATTCGTTCTTGCCTTAACATATTTCCTCGCTCCCTCGCGTGAAGAACGAAATTAGATTAAAAGAATTTTGAACCGTTTGAAATTAACAAAGAGTCTAACTCAGAAATTAGCTTCTCGTAAATTTCTCGGTCGAAACACGTAGGTCAGCATGATTTACACCTCGGGGATGCTCGGTAGTCCTCCGAAGGCCTCCTCAATCGTAAAATTTCACGAGAGTGGTATTCGAAACCCCGTAAAATATAATTTCGAACCCCCTGAACTGGTAAGCAGAAAAGACAAAAGTCGACTGACCGTATGTCCTCGCCATCAGTTGACGAATGTTCTGCCCATTGTGCCGGACTCGTATCGCAAAAAGGCAGCGCAGCAACGCCTACCGAAAAAACAAAAGAACCGTCGAAATAGCCGGTCGTTTGTCCCGGTACATTTCACCCTTTCCCGATTTTTCACCCCTTTGGTTCCACCAGGAGCCGACGTTACATCTTGCTTTTTTTTTCTCTGCGTTCAACCCTTGCTCGCGACATGCAAATATATTAACGAAAGGGTTACGACTGAGACAAGCGCGTTACGATTTTAAATATCGTTGGCTATTATGCGCGGTAATGGGTCACGCCCCTGGCGAACCAGAAAGAGGTGTGAAATTTTTCTGCTTTTTCTTCCTTCGACTCTCGTGAGAAAGTTCGTGTGCTTTTTGATTAATTGTCTTTTACTTGACGGAGCTTTTCTTCGTTAGAAATTACTGTTGCAATCGATGGATTGCATTTAAGAAAAATCAGGTGAAAGATGAAAGATCCTGGGTTTGGGAGATTCACCCCTTCGCTGGGAAATTAAATCTGATCACTCGAAAGAGAAACAAGTACCAAATTTCTAGCTTGCCACTGTTTTTACTGTCACAGTGTGTTGTTAATTATTAAATAAAAGTAATTGAAATTGCTTCGACTTGTCTTGTAATATTAAATCCGAATGGTTATTAGTTCCAAAGAAATGCGCTAAATGGAAATTTTATGAGACTCAAGGATCGCGTGCATAGCATACATATATTCAAGGCGGTAAATTCAACGTACTTCCCCGTTACGTGTCGAGAAATGCTCCGCGAATCATTGTACGATTTGTACGCAACACGTATTACTGCCAGGGCCGGAATCTGTACTACTCCCAGACGCTAAAGCGTTGTTTCCTTTAGGTACTTCTATTTAACGTCATTTTGCAGTGGATTCTAATCTGTACAAGTTTGAAACATTTATAAAGCATTGCTACTATTAGGTACTTCTATGTAACCTCATTTTGCAACGAATTCAAATCTATACAACTTTGAAACATTTATAAAGCATTGCTCCTATTAGGTACTTCTATGTAACGTCATTTTGCAACGAATTCAAATCTGTACAACTTTGAAACATTTATAAAGTATTGCTTCTATTAGGTACTTCTATGTAACCTCATTTTGCAACGAATTAAAATCTGTACAACTTTGAAACGTTCATAAAGCATTGCTACTATTAGGTACTTCTATGTAACGTCATTTTGCAACGAATTAAAAGCTGTACAACTTTGAAACATTTATAAAGCATTGCTCCTATTAGGTACTTCTATTTAACGTCATTTTGCAACGAATTAAAAGCTGTACAACTTTGAAACGTTTATAAAGCATTGCTTCTATTAGGTACTTCTATTTATCGCCATTTTGCAATAGGAAAATTGACATTGCTCCAAAGTATCTTTCTATTAAATTAATTTCGAAATTTCATCAAACTTTGATGTCACGAAACTTTGGTTTTATGAAAGCTTGATTTGATGAAACTTGAACAGCCTGTTAATTCAAAAACTCGTGTAAACCTAAAAAGAATGATTTCGCTAAAGGCGCAGAATTCGGGGTTTCGATAAAGGCGACAAACGATTCGATTATCGAGTCGTAGCGACGCTTCCCGTCGCTCAATTATGATTTCACAAAGAGCGCCACGCTGCGAGGTTACATTGTTACGCGTCAACCAGCTGTAAGTTTCGACGAAAAAAATTGGGAACCTCATGGGATCGTTTCGAACTTCTGACTATTTCAAGTTCAAACTATTTCTTCGTCGAATACAATAAATAATTATACTTCGTACAATTATACTTTGTGCAAAGTACAAAGTTGTGCAGAGTAATAGCACAATCTGTATACCTTGCAGGCTACATCCTCATTTTCTGTACACGAAAAAATATTTTCTAAACCGGTGAATTGACCGGTCAGTATAAATCCCCTTTCCAAAGCATACGACCGGAAACGGGACCATTTGCCAGGATATAAAATAACCCTGGGCCAAGATAATTGCTCGTTTCTTTTTCGAGACCCGACGGCTCGTTCCGGTGCTTCAAAACCAGCGTTTAAACTCCGGTATATTCAACGCTAAACTAGTAAATCCAAAGTACTTGTAAAAATTCGAGTTAACCGCAGAATTTCTGGAATCTCATCTCACTCGATCACTGCTACCGAGCATCACAATTTCATCTCCGCACGTAGCTTGTACCTTCCAATCTGCGTAATCGGTCTCTGGAAATAAGAAACGTTTACGAGGGGCAAGGGAGAAACATGATTGAAAGTTGCCCGATCGCCGGACTTAATAGGTTACGAGCTTCGAGAAGAAAAACTACATCCGCGTTTTTTATTATCTTACGTTCTATTAAACCCTTGCTATACAATTTATTTATCAGACGCGTCAGTCAGAAGTAACTATTCATAGGTACGTATGAATATGTTTGTTTGTTTAAGAAACATATTATTTGTCTAACAAACATATAATCATAATGTTTAAACGAGCAATAAAAATTAAATCGTGAATTTTTTTATATTCAGCGATCTTTGATAATGCAAATTATAGTTGGACCTAAATTTCAAGTTGAAGTGTTAACAATTTTAGTAAGACTTATGTTTGAGTTGTGAGTGCGTCTCGAGTGAGACTCGACAAAGTACGACAAGGGGTTAATTGCTTCGATCAATTTTGTTACATGTATACCTCATATTGTTGCATTGTCTTTACCACAGTTTTGATGATTCGAATCGAACAACGATAAAAAATACCATATTCTATTTTCCATACAGTACATTACTGTATATCCCCATAAATTTCGTACGAACTGTTTCTATTTCCAGGTTCACATGAGGTCCCGCCTAATAATGAACGGCGTCTGCGTCCTCTGGCGAGGCTGGATCGACCTGGAGCGTCTCGACGGCGTCGGCTGTCTGGAATACGACGAGAAACGCGCCGCCGAAGAGGACGCCCTTCTCCGAGAGCAGTTAGAACGCTACAAGCAAGAGATCCGACTTTTCGACGACAAACAGCGAGCGTACAGAAGCGGAGCCGTCCAGCCGCCTCACCTGAACCACCGTCATCACCATCACCACCATCAGCACGGTCATCACGGACACCACGTGACCGGAACAGGTACCGGCACACCGGGATCCATCGAACCGCATCTGACCCATCGACAAGACTCCGAGATGGAAGTGAGACTGAGAGCCTACTGAGGTCAAGAGATGCTAGCCAGCGAATCTCGAAACCTCTTCGACTTCGGACTGTTTCTTAATCATTTGCGCGAGCTGGCTGGAGAAAATCGCGAGAGAATCAGGAGGAACCTGGACGACAGGAGCTTCAGGTCGTTTGGAGAGTAGATTCTGAAATTGCGTCGAGTAGGTTCCCAATCGCGATTCGTCGCCAGGTTAACGAATCCCAAGTTTTATAATCATACGTGTAAGGTATCGATCGCGACTCAGAACGTCCTTTCGGAGAATCGATACTTCGAGATTCTTTTGACTCTTCCCGAAAACGGATTCGAAATGCATATCACTTCGTGTTTCAACGAATTATGGATTACGTCCATAATGTATAGTCATCCATTTGCATAAATCATTTACGTAAATCGGTACACTTAATGTATATGTAAGAGTGTATGAGATTTATGTAAATGAATGTAAATGTCGCGTCCGAGTTTTGTGGAAAGAAACGTTATCGAACAGTGACGTCAGAGGAGGATGATTCAGAATGCTTACGACTTACGGATTTCCTTCTGAGTCGTCGACCGAGTTTTCGTTTTTTTACGGCTGACGATCTTTCTGTTGCATTGTACATATTTGTAAAGAGTTAGGTTAATTTGACGGCGTGTGAAACCCGGGGAAACCCACTGTGCGGAATCTATCTTCGCCGATACGATTGTAAAAAGCTGTTTATCGATTAAATGCGATTTCCCTCGAACGACTCGTTTATTCCTTCCTCACACCTTTTTTTATTATTAAATGAATATTTGTAGTTTTTTTAAATCATTAATTTTTAAACAGGGTCAGGATTTTTTTAATTATTAAATGAATATGCGGTTTTTTTTAAATTATTAAATTTCATACATGGTCAGGGTTGTTTTAATTATTAAATGAATATGTGGTTTTTTTTAAATTATTACATTTCATACATGGTCAGGATTTTTTAAATTATTAAATGAATATGTTCAGACTTTTTAAAATTATTAAATATCATACATGGTCAGGATTTTTTAAATCATTAAATGAACATGTTTAAGATTTTTTAAATTATTAAATTTCAAACATGGTCAGGATTTTGTAAATTATTAAATGAACATATTCAGTCTTTTTTACATAATTGAATTTCATACATGATCAGGATTTTTTAAATTATTAAATGAACATGTTTAGGATTTTTTACATAATTGAATTTCATACATGATCAGGATTTTTTAAATTATTAAATGAACATGTCCAGTCTTTTTTACATAATTAAATTTCAAACATCTTCAACATTTTTTAAGTTATTAAATTTCGAACACTTTCAGTCTTTTAAATTATTAAATGTCAAACATCCTGTCCTTTTTGAACGATTAAATTACATACACACAGTCTGTTTAAAATAATAAATTTCGAACATCATTTAACGAATAGAATAATTATAAATAACGAATAGTCTTCGTATAACAATAAATCTGTTTCCTACCGAAGAAATATTTTAAGTCACAGAACGCGTGATTGCACGATAGCATCGAGAATAGCATGCTTGATTAATGTTCTGTGAAAAGGTGACGAAACAGTTTCTATTCGAAACGACCTATTCTCGCATTGTCGGAAAAACACGATCGAAAGGGTTTTACTGAAACTGCAAACCGGTCCAGAAAATCATAAAACAGCTTGGGTAATAAGAAATAAAAACGAAGAGCAATCACGATTCCATCGAACGATCGAAGAAATCACGAGCGATTTCAGGCTCGTGGTGTGCGCGCGCACACGTACGAACGCCTCACGTATTTACAAAGCAAAGGGGAGCTGCATTAGGGGGTTATTTTCTGGAATAATGCCGTGGGCGTTCGAGCGTGGAACTACAGTATCGCAGTTGATCCTATCAAATGGGAATCGGCCCTAAATCTGCTTTTATTGTTTCCATTTAAATATCTGGGTATCGAATTCCTAAACTCGACGCTAATAAAATTAGCTGTTTTAGGTTATGTCTTCACAGAGTTTTCCTTAATTCATATTTGTTATAATAGGTTACGCATAGATCTTCACAGAAATTTGAACAAAAAGGGAAGTTTCTTGGAGGAGAATTAGGAAGGCATTGGCTCGATGTAAGACGATAATGCGAGCGTTGGAATTCTTATAAGAAGCCATATTCGTGGAGAAGCGATACGGGGGAACAAGAACCCTTGCCATTTCCCACAGTTCCTCAAGATCTTTGCGAAAGTAACGGAAAGTTTTGCATCCTTCTCAAACAAAGTCCAGAGAGCTACTCTTATAATAATAAAAGTGCAGTTACATCCACTGTTGACCCTAGAGGAACATTGACCACTTGTAATTAACTTGCGACTGAACTGTACAATTAAATAAATAATATATAATAAACTAGCTTATACTTCTTCATCTTCATGAAGCTTTCTAACCAACCTCCCTAATTAAAAATAAGAAATCCAGTCTTCATAAAAAATACCGAGTCAAGATTATAAGATACCTTGTCAAAAGCAATCACTCGATATTTGACAAGAAAATCATTCGATATTTGGAGGATTTAACATAAAGTCGATCTAAACGATGGAGCACAAAGATATAATTTATTAGCCTACGCGTGACTTTTGCCTCTATTATGCAAAGTCCTGACACGGTTTCGAGGCACTCGAGAGCCGAAGAAAGGTGCCGGGAGTCATCAATTACGATTGGAAATAAATCGAAGGCAGATGCGACGAGTACCTAACAGGCCCTTCCCGCTGCTCGACCTCTCGCCCCTCGACCCCCTGTCGACAATACGTCTGTTTTCAACAAATACAAAACGATACACGAGCTCGACCACCCTCTTGCGTCCCTCCTGGAATTCCTGCTCGAATATGTTCCCGAAAATTTCCAGACAACCCCTATATTTAACATTTCTGTAAACTTCTCGAGTTATGTTCGAGTTTCTGTACCTGTTTCTTTATGCTCTTTTTGATGCGAAGATGAACTAGCGTTGTTACTTTTAATAGTTATTATTTTTACTTTTGGTACGTCATTCTGTTTTGTTAGGAAAATCGGAAACGCGTTCCAGCTTAATAAAGACCTTCGTTAAATTATAACGAGGAGATATCGTTTATCGGTAAACCACAGGAAGTTAGGCGTGAGCCGCGTGATAAGCCTCGTAGACCTATTTTAGAGAAAACGTGAGAATGTGACTAATTCTGAATTTACGAATATGATTATCAAGCTTCTAAGTAACACTTCATCATTGAAACTTGGACTTTTAAACTTGATTTAGTTTGAGCTTTAAACTCGATCAAAGCTTTTATTTCTACCGAGAAATCTCTGTCAAGATCTAATTTCGTTTCCCAAATACGGGAACGAGTTACCAGCCCCGAGGCACGATCTTTTCACGCGTGTACTTATGTCGCGCGTGTTTTGACAGAAACGCATCTGCCCGGTTTCTCTTTTTCAAGCGGAGGACCCTCGAACGAGAAGAGGTGGTCGCTGAAGCGGAACTCGATTGTCGAACAGCGTCTGGAGGATTTGTAATCTTCTAATGATACAGCGCAGGTTGAAGATTACCGTGGCGGTCGCTTTGAGTTCAATTTTTTTGGAACCCGAGGGTTACGTAAACTACTCCTTTGTCTTTGTGAACAATTTTTAGAAAAACTGTCATTCAGAACTGTACTGCAAGAAGTTTAATCTGTTGACAGGATAAGGAGTATAAACTGTTTACCAAAGACTCTATGGTTAGACTCTTTGCTTCCTAAGATTCTTCTAACTGCATTGTCACATTTGCAAAAGCCACTGTAGTCTAAGAGGTTAACCTACAAGATGTGTCGTAATTTCTCAAATTCCTCTGCTAAATTATTTTGCTCAAAGATATGTTCGACAACATACAAATGCGTGACTCCATATGAAACAGAGTAAATTATACAAGGTTTAATAAGGACGCGGTTTAATTTTTAATTCAAATTCCTCTACTAAATTATTTCCCTCAAAGAAATGTTCGACAACATACAAATGTGTGACTCCATATGAAACAGAGTAAATTATACAAGGTTTAATAAGAACGTGGTTTAATTTTTAATTCAAATTCCTCTGCTAAATTATTTCCCTCAAAGAAATGTTCGACAACAGACAAATGTGTGACTCCATATGAAACAGAGTAAATTATACAAGGTTTAATAAGGACGCGGTTTAATTTTTAATTCAAATTCCTCTGCTAAATTATTTTGCTCAAAGAAATGTTCGACAATATACAAATGCGTGACTCCATATGAAACAGAGTAAATTATACAAGGTTTAATAAGAACGTGGTTTAATTTTTAATTCAAATAATGAATGACAATAAAAAAATGTTGTGGCTCAGAATTCGTAATTTTACCACACAATGAAAGAGTTAATATAAAGTTAAGAATACGTTCTGATGGGGTCAATCTAGTCATCGAGACTGCTCATCTATCGCCAACACATGCCCGCATGTTTCGACTCGAGCGCGTTTCAAACGCGATCCTCCACGCGGTGGGTCCTCGTAAAAGACAGAAGGTCGTTCGACGGAATTACAGTCGCTTTGTGGAGTTCATCAAAACGCTTCGAAGAGTTTGTTTATAATCCTCGATGTTGAAATTTCTAAATTAAAAGATTCGTCATGTAGGAGTCCTTGCGCCATAATTTCAACCCCGACACTTTTATTCGAGCGTCAAACCTCGTTCACGTGGGCGCGTTCGCTCGGTACTGGAAAAGAGGGCTCCATGTCCCGTCGAGTTTTGTGTGCCAACAAGCTAAATGCGTTTCACGGATGGCCGCCTTCGATCAATGCCTCTACCGGCTCGATTCGTGCACTCGTAAGAACTTGTTCGTTCGACTGGACACCTATCGAGAATGGTAGAGAAGTTACTCGGTAGTTTTGGTAGAGAATTTACTAGGTAGTTTTCACTGGCAATATTTTATTTCGTAGGTTGTTTGCTGCTTCTCTGTGTAGAAGTTTGACATGAATTATGTTGAATTATAGAAAGTCATTATAGTAGCTTTTGAGGTTAATCTATGTGTCGCAGTTTCCCAAATTCCTCTCCAAAATCATTTTCAACGTACAAATATGTGACTCAATAGGCAGAGTAAATTATACAAAACATATCCCGTTCCCACAATTTATTTTATATTTTTTTCAGGTCGCCACGGTGTATTAGTCTTGCATAGTCGCACAAGAAATTCGAGACGCCATGATTAATGGCTGGGAGGAAGAAAAGTATGATAAACTATGACTAATGTAGATTTCACATTCTTTCTTGTTTCAGGTACTTATATCATAATATGTACTTTCGAACTCACTGCTACGAAATTTTCTCTTTGGACATTTAACCCTACTTTTGCTGTCGTGGATCTTTTTCTTTGGTTGAAAAGTTTGCTCATATTCTTTTGAGATTGCTATGTGAGATTGCCTCTGTAATAATAGAGGTATAATATTAATTGTTGCTCTCTCTATAATATTAATTTGTTGCTGTGGAGCAATTGTGTATATTTATAATATTGTGCTAATGTTCAACTGTTTATCAAAACTTATTTAATTTTTAAGTACTTATTGTATCAAGTTTAATATTTATACATGACATGTTTTTATGTATAACACTGTGGATTTAGCTAAAAATATTTATTTTAAATAATTGCATTAAACAAAATGGAAAATGTCGCTCAAAGTTTGCACTCACTTCTCGAATGCAAGGGTTAAGTGTACATAATTTCATCAAGTGCTAACTTGTA